AAGCTAGCTTGATTAAAGTTACCACAGGTCTTAGTCAGAAAGCAAGATAAGCATTTGTTAACGTAAAAAAAGTAAAAAGTAATCACAATTCATATGAAGTTGAAATTAAAGTTGGTAACAGAAAGTATTGGTAACACGAAAATCTACCCTGTTGGTAAATGAAATTTCGAAGGATCACATTGTATGTTTGAGTTAATCATTCCGTCTGGATTTATAACCGTTAGAACATCATGTAACCGTCGTGGATAATTAATCTAACGGTTAAAATCTCCGACGAAATGGTTCCGTAACGGGACCGCAGAATCTTCCAAAATATTATTTCATCCCGAAATTATAATAATAATTTATATTGAATTTCATTTATATCAATAGTATTGATGATATTTCATTATCTAATTAATTAAAACTAAAATTTATATTTTTACACAAGTTAATTTCAACTTTTGTAAGTTAATTTGCATCTTAAAAATTAATGTCATTTCGTAATTCTAAGTTTATCAATATAAATATATATATATATATATATATTAAATATTTGAAAATGCTGTTTTATTATTATTATTCAATCGACTAGAATTTAAAAAAAAAAAATGATAATAAAATATATTGTTTAAATATCGTTTTTGTAAGATCAATTAATAATTATTTACAAAAAAAAGTAAATAAAACTACTTATAACATACTAATTAAATCAATTAATACAATTTTATATTAAAGTTATGATGCCTTTGTTCACACTATTCACAGACAATAAGCAAGACGTAAATTTAAGTAACAAATAAAATTGAAATTAAACTGTCATACTAAATTTAGTTCACAGTCAAAGGCATTGCATTAATGTAATGAAACGAATAATTATATTTAATTTTCTCATGCATTAATGTAATGAAACGAATAATTATATTTAATTTTCTCAATTTAATGTTTTAGGCCTGATGATTAGACAATCATACTTTTTTCAATATCATATTCTCACAAACAAAAGAATTAAAAATATGATATTTCGTATTATAAATATAAAATTTTGTTACGATAGCATGACAGGTAGACCCGTCTAACTGTTACGTACATTGCTCTACACAAAAATTTGTGTTGGCTCAAGTGGTAAGCAACTTGATGGCGCCGCTTAAGCAAAGACTCGGGTTCGAGTCTTTGTGGATGCAAAAAACCTTTGTTGGGAGACTCACTCACCACTGTCAGGTCTGCGACCCGGTTCGACTTGTATTAGTTGGGGCATAACTCCGAATATCGTGGCTGGCTACTAAAAAATAATAAGCCTCACGAGATTTTATTAGGCAGACCTAACGGTTAGACAATCATACTTTCAAAACATATGTACATGCTTTCAAGTTGCAATATCATATTTACAGACAACATAATTAAAAGTATGACATTTCATATTATGAGTAAGTAATTTTGTTAAATAGATACGACGGGTCGACACGTCTAACTGCTAGACTGCTTTATATAAGATTTTTGGCTAAATGAAAAAAAAAAAATGGCCCCACCAGGTTGAGATAAAACTTGAGCAATATTGTTTTTATCTACCTTATTATGTTGTTCTAAAGTTCGTAACGGCATTTTCAGAGATCATCATTATATTTTGGTTTGTTCTTATATTCACACACATACACACCTTTATGTGTGTGTTTTCTATAAATATAAATATATGAACACACACAACATAAAAATAATAATTAATAAACCTTTCCTCAAACCAACTCAAACTCAAGCTATAGCATTCTAATTCAAAAATCAAAACAAAATTTAATTGATTCCCATTTTTTTTTTTTTTGTTAATGTTAGCCATGTCAGAAGACCAACTTGGCCAAGAGAGCTTATTTTGGGATGTCGACTGGGAGTTTCCAAATTCATCAAACGGCGGCCAAAAGCCCGCCGGAAATTCCGACCTCCGGCTGGTGGCGCCGCCTCCCGCCCCCAACACCAGCAAGGGAAAGAAGCGAAAAGCCGCCGGAAAGGGATCGGACGGCCAGGATCGAGGGGAAGAAGGGAAAATCGGCAGTGGAGATAAATCGGACGATCACGAGCTACACATATGGACCGAAAGGGAGAGGAGGAAGAAGATGAGAAGCATGTTTGAGAATCTTCATGCTTTGTTACCTCACCTTGCCCCAAAGGTATTAATTAATGTTATAACATTAATTTATTCCTTATTATTATTTTTTATATTAATAATAATTAACATTCTTTTTGTTTATTGGAATTAACAAATAAAAAGTTAGGGCAACCCATGTTTCTTTCTTTCTATTTTAATTTCTTGGTTTCATTTTTTTTTTTCTTAATAAAATTTTTTTTATTAGGAAAAAAGTGTTGCAGAGTTTGTTTCATATAGAAAAAGTAGCTTTTTTTAGGTGGCACACACGTACACGTAGTTGAGATTGGAAAAAAATAAGTAATTTAATAAATTCCTTATATATATATATATATATATGTGATTATAATTTTCTTTAATTTGTGGGGACATTTGCCTATAGATAAGTACTCTTATTAAATAACTTAATTACCTACTAACTACAATTTTGAGTGCCTAATGAATTATTTTTTTCGTTTTTAAAATACACAATCATCATATAATTCACATACAAATTCAATACAATGCACCAAATGTCTTTTTATATTATATATATCTTTATACTATATAAGTTATGACATTTATAAGATCAATCTTTTATTCAGGCTGACAAATCCACCATTGTTGATGAGGCAGTAAGCTACATCAAGAAACTTGAACACACTCTCCACACACTCCAAAAGCAAAAGCTACAAAAACTCCATGGAATATTAATCACCACCAACACGACAAACTACGAAAACCCGCTAACCATCGCGCAACAAAACCTCGCGAACTTATCAAGAGAGGCATTCTTAGCCGAGCAATTATCCGGGTCCACGGCTAGCAACCCGAACCCGCTAATTTCGAACTCGAACTACGAAATCCCTGCGATTTTCAAAACGTGGACTTCCCCTAACGTGATCCTTAACGTGTGCGGAAAGGAAGCTCAAATGAGCATATGTAGCTTAAAAAAATCGGGCTTGCTCGCCAAAATATGCTTCGTGATGGACAAGAACAAGTTGGAAGTGGTCTCGGCACATGTCTCGACCGACTGCTACCGATGCATGTACATGATTCATGCTCGAGTAAGTTATCATTTTTTTAAGATACACGTGCGCAAATTTCTTTTTACATGTCGATGTGGTAATTATTGCTGGATTTCGATTAGGGTTCTGTGATTTCGGTCTTGAAAGTTAGCGAATTTTGTTCTAAATTTTACTAATTTAGGTAACTTTTATCGGTTTGTAACCGATTACAATGTCTCGGGTAAATCTTCAGTGTTAAAATCGTGATTAGTGTTAGGAATATATCACGATTGCAATTTAGGTGCATTTATATGGAGAAATTACACCGTATATATAAATGGCTAGATTATTCCTCGAGGATTTGGTATATATACTAAAATTCTCAAGAAATAATTACACGGTATATATAAATGGCTAAATTGTTTCTCGAGGATTTGCTACCGATGCATGTACATAATTCATGCTCGAGTTAATTATCATTTTTTTTAAATACGCGCAATTTTCCCTTTTCTGTGTAGATTTGGTACTATTGTTGGATTTCGATTAGGGTTTTGTGATTTCGATTTTGAAACTAAGTTGCAAATTTTGTTCTAGATTTTACTAATTTAGGTATCTTTTTATAGATTTTAATCAAGTGTTAAAATCGTAAGGAATATATATCGCAACTAATATTTTTAGGTGAATTTACAGGGAGATATTACACGGTATATATATAAATAGCTAAATTATTTCTCGAGGATTTCAGTACAGTGGTATCTATTACTGAAATCCTGGAGAAATAATTTACCATAGTATTATATATGTTTCATTAGAATTTCATTTAAGATGTACAAAATATATGAATGTTACATATGTTAATTATGTTTTTAAAAATTCAAAATACAGTTATAGTGTGTGATTAATTAATGTATATGTAGTTGGCAAGTGGATGTTCAGAGCAGTATCAACAGGCATTTGGAGTGGAAGAAATGTACAAGCAAGCAGCAGCAGAAATTATGTTGTGGGTTAATTCCTAATTAATCTACCCAAATTATATTAATTAGTAGACATTTATCTCAATTTTCATTCTATGTATAATTAACCTAGTTATATATTGAACAGTATATATGCAGGAATTTTGTGTAACTTTTGCTATTACTGAATTATTTTCTTCTCTAATCTGGTTTTGAGATCAGTTATTTGTTGTTATCTCCCGTGTTATTAACCGAAAGAGTTTGAAAATCTTAATTTATGCAGAAGACGACTTGTCAAAACATCAAACCAAGAGTGTTGTGTATAATTTACGATTTTTCTTCTTCATATGTTTTTTATTGCTATTGTGAGTTCTTCTTAGATAAATTATATTTATCTAATTTTTACCAAAAAAATTGGTATAAGAAATAGAAAAGAAATTGCAAGTAAACGCCAAATAAAATCATTTATACAGTCTTTGGACTACATATAAGAGCAGCCTGGCACAAATAAAAAGCCTGTCCAATAGGTAAGGTCCAATTAGAATGCATTGTCCATGTTATAAACATGTTTCCGATGGGCCACAACAATATTTTATCTAATTGTGGCCCACTAAAGATGAGAGAATCAAGTGCCCATAAAACTAGGGTTCCCAATGTTTTCCAATTCAACCGATAATAGTCGGACATTATCGATTAAGTAGTACTTATATTCATAATATAATGTCATATATGTATAAAATTAGAGTATTTCTATATAATATACATTTTCTCAAAAAAGGTGAGTAGTTTATTATGATTTCATAGTAGGATTACTTCTACGCACGTAGAGTTGTTAAATGGAACGAGTCGCTCATAAGCTCAACTCGTTAAAGTTTGAGCTCGGTCAGCAACTTGGCTTATTAAAACTCGAATATAATTTTTTGTCGGCAGTAATCTAATTTTTTTTTCGTACTTTAATATTTTAAGGTTCAACTTCGACTCGTTAGTTTTGATAACCAAGTTGAACTTTAGCTCGTTTATCAAATGAGCAAAGATCGACTTGGCTCAAGCTCAAGTTCAAGTTCGGTATTAAAAGCTCAAGCTTAACCCGATTGGACTCGTTTACATATCTATTTCATGCTATCCTCCAAAAAGTAAATGGAATGCCTTTTTATTATTCATATTCTTCCGTGTAATGACTTAAGATTAAGGTTTCGAATTTCTAGTGTTGCTTCTAACTTAATGTTATCCTATGCACTGCTTTTATAATTCTCACATCTTTAAATGCTTCTAAATTTAGAATCCAAACAAGTGTGTCCCAAAATGGTGTTAAAACGATGTTTTCAAATTGTGTACCCAAGGTCCCAAACCCTACCCCCACCAAATAAAAACAAAATAGTAAAGGAAATTATATAATGCTCCAAAATTGTACTATTGTGAAGTAAAAATACCATAGTTAAAATAAAAGCACCTAAAAGGCTAAAACACACAAGTACATGATACATAACCATTAGACTGGTTAGATCAGTCATATCTTTTTTTTTTTTGGTACAGGGACCTTCCGGTTTCCGGATCAGTCATATCTTTTTTTCTTCTTAGGTATCTGGAGATATGCCCCGACTAATCCGTTGGTCGACTCGGGTCGCGCACCTGGCAGTGATGGGTGAGTCTCCCAACAATGGTTTTTTGCATCCACAAAGGTTCGAACACGAGACCTTGCTTAAGCGACATCAAACTACTTACCACTTGAGTCAACCCTGGTAGATCAGTCATATCTTTAGTGGCACATGTGGCAATTTGTCGTGCTTTTGCAACAAAAATGCATAGTTACGTTATAATATGTCATATTTTCAATTGAGTTTTTTCTAAAGTTGGATTAATACACTTATATATATCATTGGTCCCACCACTTTGAAAGCTCCAAATATTGATAAATTAAAAATGATGACAGATTTTCTCGTGACCGTGAAGGAATTAATTAATGATTTTAACATTTAACAGCACTCACATCTGCGCACTAATACTCAAAACAACAACAAGGATTATCAACTTTTTATT